ACTTTCCCACAATAAGTTAAACATCTGATGTGTTGATAAAAAAATGGATGTTCTTCCCATAACTTTGTCTGCTTAAGAGTACAGAAAGAAGATAAACATTTCTGAAATTGATAATTACTTTCTATTCTTGTTGAAAACAACTTCTTAATACGATGCAATAATTTCTGAAAAACATGTTACCAGCTGTGAAATTTAAATTTAAATTCTATGATTGCTTTTATGTACTTTTCTTAGTTCTCATTTTCAGTTCTCTAAGTTGGTAATGAAATAACCAGAATATAAGGTTGGTGTCACACATATGGTATGGCCAAAACAGGATCTCGGGAATTGTAACTGTTAAAAGTATGAGAGGGAGTTATATTGGGGTTTTTTTTTTTTAGAGTGTTTAGAATATTGTGGTTTGGGCATGTGTGCCACTGATTTGTAAATGTGTGGCATTTTTTAAACCTAACTTGAATACTATTCTGCAACATTGACTGCATGATAAAAATTGGTAATCAGCCTTGGACCCTTTTTTGGCTTATTAGAATTTTATGATAATTTCCTTTCATTGAATGACTCATTTTTAAGAGAAACAATGTTGAACTAGCTTAAGTATCTCTTTAGATTTAGCAGCATTTAGTCAACATTTGATAACTAAATTCAAGAGTAGCATGGTGGCCTAGTGGTGAAGATGCTCACCTTCACACAGAAGGTTGAGAGTTCAGTGCTAGGTATGAGTAGGTGTTTCTCTCCTAGGGTGTAAAGAAAAATACCTGCTACGAAGTCTGTGTAGCATCAGAAAGGCCATTAAATGCTCAGCTCCATCCACTCACCCTGACTCTACCCCAAATTAAGAAATTACAGGATTGTAAAAAGGGAGTTTTTTAATAGCTAAATTCACAAGTTTTTTTTACTATGTAGAAAAGAATAATTGTGAAATATTTATTAAAGTATGTTAGGTTCTGTCTCAGTAACATTACTGCATATTTTTGTTCTAAGATGTATACAGACAACTGCATTGATTGAAATCAGAAATTGAAAACGGAGATGATAGTACATTGATATATTTAAAAGTGGGTTGAAAAGCACAAATATATAAGTAATTTAAAGGCTGTGAGATGTATTTTAAATGCTGTAATCAATGGGTATTACAATCTTTTGTTCAATTAAGAATAACTTGATTAATGGGGGGTGGGTTAGATTATGTAGCACAGTGCTTTTAAAGTAGGGCTTTTTGAAATTCTCTCAATTTCAAAATGAGTTCTACAAAACTAAATTGTTGCTTGGTGTATGTCCATTAAATGCATGCTAATGACTTTTATGTTATCTGCTTCTGTTTTAATATTCTGTCTCATCATAATCATCTATTTAAACAGTCAGATAAATAGATAATGTTGTTGAGACACCTTTGGAAAAGTCTTTGTGCATCTTCAAAAGAAAAAGACTTTTGACTGTATAATCAGCTTTTCTACAGTTTATTTATTCATTTTTGTTTATCTTTAACCTTGAAATAATTTCATGGAGCTATCAGTATAGATTGTTTTTCTTAATAGTCTGTCTCTTTCTGTGTTTGGTATTCAGAAGTACTGATTTAGTTTCAAGGTCATTCATTCCCTAGAAGAAGGAAAAACAATAGTTTAGTTTGGTTTCAAAGTCTTTTCATCTCTTTCCTTCAGATTAGATGGCTGATTCTAAGGCTTTTCTGGCTATTTAAACTTTCTTGATTGCTTTCTTCAGCACAAGACATACATATATGGAGGTTTAAATCTTCCTTTCTATAGCATATATAAGAAACGGGTTTTGTCAGAATTTCCACCGTTAAAACATCACAAGGTAATTATTCACATGTACCAGCCAAAGCATAAGAAATGAAAACGAACATCTGAAATACATAGAAGTTTTACCAATGGCAAAGCTTACATTCGTATTATGTTGAAATACATGTGGAGAGATATGTGTTGATAAGCCTTTTGTAAGGACCCACCCCACTTTTCATCTTAAGAAGACAGAACTCTTGGAATAATTCTTCCAACAGGAATCCTTTATTAAGAGAAAATGGTTGCAGGCATTCTAGACAGGACTTGGGGTCCAAGCTCTTCAATTCAAGGTTTTAAGGGTTTCCCCAGTAGCCCCACCCAATCAACCCCCTCTTTCAGCGACAGTCTCAGGCATTACACTTCCACCCCCTTTTCATTACTGCCTGGCTGGATGGAGACTTCAAAGAAACTACATGAAAGGAAAACGGCCCCATTCTTATGGTTAGTTCTTTTGCAATACACACATTCAGTTCCTTAGAAGTATACTGAAGGAAGTGAGGGCCATAAAGCCCCTTTGTTCTTCCCCTTCTCTCCCTCTTATGGCAGAATCCAGAGAAGGCAGAATTGGGGTTTTCTATATTTGATAACTAAAGATGAAATATAATTGGATTCTGATACCTTTATAAGTTCCACAAATTTTGCAGGATCAAGTATTAGACTGAAATGGTCAAATTCTGGACAGTATTATTTATTACTGCCCAATATCCTCTTCCTGCTTTCCACTTGTGGTAAACTAGTCTAGTATTCAACAGTATTCTGCTATAATGTTTTGGAACCTTTGTATCCAGGTATGCACAGCTGAGATTCAACATCTCTTTTATACAGCGGAAGAGGGAGGTAAAAGTATCCTTTTATTTTTGCCAGTGTTTTTAGCTGTTGCACATTTAAAATTATGACTTGTTTAAAATTGCTGGTCATTAGAACAGAGATATATTAATACTGGCAGCAATTTATTTCTCATCTAAATAAGAGGTGCAAATTCTGAGGTCAGCTGCAAAATTTTAATTTGAACGAATTTAGAATTTTATTCAAATATTAAACAGACTTGGTAACTCCACAAGTGAAAAATCAGAAAAACGGTCCTGACCTAACTCTTGCAAAGGTTTCTAAAGTAAGGATTCTGAATCCTCTGAAGACATTAATCATCCTTGGAACAACACCTTTTTCCTGAAGCATATGGGCAGGTCTAAACTGAAATACTCTTTGAAACATTCTCTGATTGTACCAGATTGGCAGTGTTGGTAGCTTACTTCCTCTCAGAATCTTCCATATAGTACTATGTTTTCCCCAAAATAAGACCTGGTCTTATTTTTTTTAGGTCTTCTTTTCAGGGGGGGTGTCTTTTTCATGGTCTCACCTTGCAGCGGTAGCACCGACAGCCCCGGCCAGCTGGCCCACTTCTTCTGCTGCCTAAGGAAATGCCTCTGCAGCTGAGAATGGTGCTCTGGCCTGCATTTCAGGCCTCTGCAATGAGAACCAAGCTGTGGATTGAATCTGTAGGTCGGTTCTCAGCTGTAGCGGCCTTTCTGAAAGGCCTCTGATGGCGAAATGCGGCTGCAGAAGAAGTGGACCGGTGAGACAAGGCAAGTGTTGATTCATGGGAGGCCTGGCTGCAATGGTAAGCAGGTAAGGGGCAGCTCTATCCCTCCACCCCCACCCTAGCTTGATTTTTAGGCATGTGCCTCGCTCTAAAACTAGGGCTTATTTTTGGGGTAGATCTTGCTTTCAGGGAAACACGTTGTTACATTTGCTATAGCAGTCAAAATGTTTTTCTGATGTAATGAAGCAGTGTGATAACATTGCCCTCTTTTATCCATGAAGGAAAAATAAATCAGGACATGTTTACTAAAGATGTATTTTATTATGTTCCTCAGATTTTTTCTTTCACTTTCTGATTGCCACAAAGCCTATTCCAACTCATTCTGTTGGAATCAGAAAAGGGAGTAATTAAGGCCTGAGCATATTCCTGGAACCATCTTTGTCAGAGAATAGCTGTAGTGGAGTTGTGGCAACATTTTGGTGGCAAGAACTACACTCAACATGGATGGAGTCACATATATGGGTGGTGTAGAGGTTTGGGGAAAAGATTGAAGTGGCTATGATTCCCTAAAATGCTTCTCCCATGTAATTTCATTTATATGTAAACACATTTGGTGGACATTTAAACAGTAGCAAATGAAAATGAGTTTGCCTTTTTATAAGTCTATCAAAGTTTGCGAAGATGAGACACACAGATAATTAAGTAACCTGTTCTGTATAGTGACTAAGAATTCCCGTCTTCAGTTCTAGCTGGTTTGCTAGTTTCAACTTTTCCTGTCTGCAATGATGCTTGCCATAGCAACCATTCATCCAAATTACTGTGGTAAGCTTTTTGTGGAGTTGTTCTGCCATTGTCCACTTAGCGTACTGATGGAAGATTAATGCTATAGTACACCTATTTCTACAGTTTGCATTGGCTGCTTATTTCGTTTTATCCCATTGACCTCATCTGTGTTTTCATCTTTTTCAACTTATGCATGCTATTCTTTCTCTAATTGTTACAAAATATAAGGAGGGTTGTGGTACAAACTGGAATGTTGGAGTGTTTTGAAATTTTATTGCAGAACTCTTCTACTAAGGGTTCCCCATTAAAAATAATTATGGCAGGCTGCTCCCAGATAAGCTAATTTTTTTTCACTTGTGCTAGTTTATTCACATGAGTTTTAGGCCTTATGCAAAGGATTCCTTCCTTTAGCCCAGCCTTTAACTCCATTAATTTTTAAACTAATGCTTTTATGTCTGTATTCTGGTAATATAAACTGCTCTACTATCATTAAATAAAAAGTGCTATAGAAAAATAGTGCTAGTAATTTAGGCATCAATGTTGTTCCTTTCTCATTTTCTATTTTTTCTCATTGTTTAAAATCAAAACTTTTATTATCTGTTTATTATTTTTAAACATGCAAAATGGCACTACACTTCAAGTCTAATGTGAAATTTTGATTTTTGACTTTTAATTTTCATCCAATTTAAATCTTAATATTCTGATGGCCAGCTTTCAAATAATTTAGTATCTGGTATGTTTCCAGCTCTTGCACTCTAAGGGGTCCCTGTAATTTTGACTTTATTATAGAAAATGACCATTGATCTGACAGTCTTTTCTAGTTAATTGTTTCAGATGGATTTTCTTTCTGACTCAGTAATGAATGCCATTTATTTCAGGATGATGTGATGATGCCCCAGAGAATAAGGCTGCAGTGGGAAGCTAATATTAAGTATCCAAGGAATGTGAGTATTTATATTTTGTTGTTAGTAAAACATACAATGAGTTTTAACATAAAAGCTTGGAAAATACTATAATAAGATTGACTGTATTGGAATGTAGTAGTTGTTAGTGACAGAGATTCCAGTCCCAATTGCCATTGTCAAGAAGAACTACCTGTAGTAATAGTGTACAAGTTATACCTGGTGAACACATGGCTGAGCTCAGGTTTGAAGTAGGCTATATAGTAAAATTAACTGGAACTTTACCTTACAGTGAACTGGATGCAGAAAAAGAAAGCAGTAACAATCTTGATTTAAGATTATTATAGATTATAATAGAGCATCATGTGATAGCTGTAAAACGTTTTACTGCAGCTTGCCATACATATCTGAGAATTCTAGTAGATTACTTAACTGGTGGGCTGATGACATTCAACCTGCCAAATTACAGATTTTTTAATTATAGAATCCTTAAGTTAAAGTAGAACACTTATCAGAGTTGCAGTGATAAAAAACAGGTAATCAATTTAGATGAAATTATAACCGTTTTGGTTTGGGTAGATGTTATTTTGCATGTGTGTGTATTTAATTTTAAAAGGCACTCTGCAAAGTTAGGCTCCGTTCTTAGTGCATTTGTAAGCAGACCTCTTAATAGTGTTTACTTTGGATTGGTTTAGGTTGAGAAGATTGGGCATTCTTGTGAAAGGAGTGTAAAAGCTGGATAAGGAGAAAACAAGACTTTTTTTTTGTAAAAGAGTAAGTTGTGGTCCCACCAGATGGAATCCTGATATGTATGGCAGATTGCAGAGGAGTAAAACTTTTTATAGTTATCCCACATTGTGAAAGAGAAAGTTTGACAAAATAACTGCCAAAACATGTAGCCACTACAGATGGATCACTCTTAATAGACACTATCATAAAAGATCATCTAAAATTTAGTTATTTTACTAATCTCATTTTGCTGTAGCTTTCAGCAGTTGTTTAAGTTATAAGTATGAGAAGATGTCTTTTGAAGTGAAGAAGCTTTCTTATAAATAAAGGAATAGATTATATGAGAAAATATTTTATTGTGATTAATTCTCATTTTCAATTTCATACATGCACAATATGTTCTGACTAAAAATGTTTGCAACTTGCTTTCCACAAGTGTCCTTTAGAAAGAGAAAGGTAGTAAAGTAAAGAATCTTTGGGGAGGCTGAAAGAGGGTAAGGCCAGATGGATAATAATAATTCCCTTTTTCTTTGAACCAGAATGAAAACAACAGAAACAAACAGTCTTAGCCCTTAATTTATACCACAATATTGGCATGCCTAACTTGGCAGACATCATAATCAAAGAAATCCAGAGTTGACTGTGTTCTAAAATGAGTTGAATGTGTGTATTTTTTTCTTGTAAATAAAAGATAGATGCACATGTAAACATATATGAGCTTATATTTGCCAGGTCTCATTTCACTTGTCTGAACATGTTGCATAGTAGGGACACAACAGAAAAAAAATGAATTGAACATATATGTGGCTTGCTTATGATTTGTAGATGTGCACAGCTATGGCAATTGTTAAATTAGTCTTGTGTATGCTTGACTTGGGTAGACAGTTCTTTGTAGTGCATTTGCTTTCTTCTAAGAAGAATTGTGTTTGTCTATGCCCTGTTTGTTGCCCCATTCTCACTGCTATCTTTTAAATAAAAAGAATGGTATAGGAATATATACAATGAAAGTATGTGTCCATCTTGCTTTGTTTAGATTGTAAAACAATAGGCATCCTACAGTCTTCCTATCATTCATTCTTATTTGACAAATCCAAAGTGTTGTCAAACTTAGTTTCTTCATTTGGAGGCAACATTACAGTGGACTGAAATGCAACTAAAAAGTTTTACAGTAGAGCTTTCTGTTTTATGTCCAATGTTATATTGTAAGCAAAATCACTTTGCTTTTGATGTCTGTTTCTGTTATCTTCTTTATTTGCCTTGTTCCCTTAGTGGCTAATGAAGGATGAGTAAGTTGCCTGATAGACAAGCAGCTATCTTAGTGCTATTAATGAAGTAGAACATGCACCATCTTGTCCAAGTTTTAGGGGATAGTTTCACCTTTTGCAGCCTGAGAATGTGAACAAGATGCTTATAGTGGTTTATTTCATTGCATGTTCTCTTGTCCCAGGGTAATTTAGGTTATCTGCATGATCTTAGCTCTCTGGGTCTAAGGAGTATTCAAGACATCATTACATCACAGGGTGGTTTTTTCTATTAAAGGAATACATTAGTATACTTGAAGGAAAGGGGATGTCCCAGAATTCAAAAGCTTGTGATTATGGTGAATATCTTCCTTTGTGAGGTACATGAGAGGATCCTAACAAACCAATCATAGATATTCTGGGAGATTTATCTTAAATATATCTCAGTCTTATGTCTGGCCTGATTAATTGCCTTGATCACTCTGATGGATATAATAATAATAATAATAATAATAATAATAATAATAATAATAATAATAAAGTTGGAAGGGACCTTGGAGGTCATCTAGTCTAACTTCCTGTTCAGGCAGGAAACCCTATACCATTTCAGACAAATGGCTGTCCAGTCTCTTCTTAAAAACTTCCAGTGTTGGAGCATTCACCGCTTCTGGAGGCAGGTTGTTCCACTGGTTAATTGTTCTAAGTGTCAGGAAGTTTCTCCTTAGTTCTATGTTGCTTCTCTCCTGGATTAATTTCCATCTGTTGCTTCTTGTCCTGTCTTCAGGTGCTTTGGAGAATAGCTTGACTCCCTCTTCTTTATGGCAGCCCCTGAGATATTGGAACACTGCTATCATGTCCCCCCCTCGTCCTTCTCTTCATTAACTAGACATACCCAATTCCAGCAACTGTTCCTTATATGTTTTAGATTCCAGACTTCTAATCATCTTTGTTGCTCTTCTCTGTACTCTTTCTAGAGTCTCAACATCTTTTTTACATCTTTGTGACCAAAACTGGATGCAGTATTCCAAGTGTGGCCTTACCAGGGCATTATAAAGTGGTATTAAAATTTCATGTGATCTTGATTCTGTCCCTCTGTTAATGCAGCCTAACACTGTGTTGCCTTTTTTGGCAGCTGCAGCACACTGCTGGCTCATATCTAAGTGATTGTCCACTAGGACTCCGAGATCCCATGTTTGGAAAGAACCTTTTACTCTTACCTGGTCACTCAACAGCTTCTAATATCAATCCTTCCAGTTAAATATACTTACTGGGAACATCTCCAGTGTTCATTTCTGTACTCTCAGTAAGTCCACAAAATAACATTTGAGAACTGCCACCAGATACTGTATTGTTTTCAATGTTATTTATATAACGCTAGCAAGAAAACAGGGAAAGTAGTCAGGGGTCAGACAAAAAAGTTCTTTGACAGACTTGCAAGATTGATGTTAGACCAGATTAGGAAATCAAAGTCATGTAGGCCAATACTATTTATTATAAGGACATAATAATAAAAAAACCTTGCAAGTCTGAATATGCTTCTCTCCCTTTTCTTTTTATCCTAAGGAATCTAAACTAAGGAGAATCTTATCTGAGACATTTTCTTACATTACAGTTCTACCTCAACTATCAAAAAACTTGTTTTATCTAATTGTTGTCTTGGTTGTAATTCTTTCTCCTGTCCCTCAAGGTCATTCTTTCTGCCTATAAAAAGGCAAAAGTGACTTGCAGCTTGTAAAATATTCCAAAAACAGCCAAAAAAGAGTCTTGGGATATTTTAGCAATAAAGGGACATACAAAGAGCATATAGTTCATTGCTAGGGAAAAAATGGTGATTTGATAATGGATAGTGGTGAGGAGGCAGAATATTTTAATTTTTAATCTGCATCTATCTTCTCATGTCAGCCTTGTGGGGCCGGGGTGGGGAAAAACTGTAGTTTAGGGAAGACAAGAAGAGGATAAGAAAAGAATGTAATTAATTAACGTACATCAAAGTATCCTGGGATAGATGAATTATCTTCTTAGATACTGAAGAAACTACTGGAGGTGACTACAGATAGTCTTAATAATGTTTAAGGACTCTTAGAGGACCGGTGAGGTCACTGAAGAACGAGATCTGCAGATTACTTCCTCATCTTCAAATTGGGGAACAAGGAGAAAGAAACTGTAGCTTTGTCTGTTTAAAATATATGATTTTTTCCCCTCATTTATTTATCAGTCATATTTTTATAGCTGCCAGTCTTACATGAAAGTGACTCTGGCTGATGTACAGCACTTAATTAAAAAGCTATAAATATATTAAAAACAGGCATACTTAAAATGGTTGTATTTTTTGAGCAGATTATCCAGCAACATGTTTATGAGCAGTTGGATATGTACACAGAGTTAACAACAACAACAATAATAATAATGTTGGAAGGGACCTTGGAAGTCATCTAGTCCAACCCCCTGCTCAAGCAAGAAACCCTATACCATTTCAGAACAAATGGCAGTTAACATGAGCCAACATGGGATTGTCACAAAAAAGTTTGCAAGATCAAGCTTAATTCCTTGTTAATTCCTTATTCTATGACATGCCAAAGAATTACTTTGGCATGTCATAGAATAGTCTTTGTCAGACTGCCTTGTGCATACGTGAATAAAATGGTAAATATGGGGTAGATCGAGGTCCCCAACCCCCGGTCCATGGACTAATACCGGGTTGCGGCATGCCAGCAACTGGGCCGCACAAACAAGCGAAGCCCCATCCATGGGATGCAGGCAGCACACAAAGCCATGCCCCTCTGGTCCATTGAAAAATCTTTCTCCACAGAACCAGTCCCTGGTGCCCAAAAGGTTGGGGGCCTCTGGAGTAGATGATATATTAGTTGACTGAATAACTATTTTCAAGGAGTGCTCATTAATGAGTCCACTTATTTTGGTGGGAAGTAAAATGTAGAATGCCAAAGGTTCTGTCTTGGCTCTGTGCTATTCAACATTTTTGTCAGTATGAATGAGGTTAAAGCATACTCTCCTCAGCACTGAGGAGAGACTAATACTTAAATAAGAGGGAAGATTAAAAAATATCTGGGCTCT